TCCAGGGTAAGGATCAAACCAAGAGGCAACTGCCTGAATTAAAATGATTATTAATTATTTGCACTGCAGTAGCACCTAAAGGACCCAATCAGGACACCTTTGTTCTAGGCGCTGTACAGACACATAATGAAAAGATAGTCTCTGTCCTAATGAGGTAACAGACTGAGCTAATAAAGATGATGTCTAAATCCAGAGAGGTTGCATATAAAACCATAAGCTTTAACCAGAGAGTGTCACTAACTTCAGAGAATATTTGTCCTATTTAAACAGCCGTTAAAAGAAAAAGAATATATAAGAAGCTGAGAACAATAGAAAAAGGGATTTAGAATGAAAGAGTTTAATCTTTAATACTATGGCCAGGTAATGAGCTACAGTAATTATATAAAGATGCCATTGGGAATCTTTAACCTGGCACAGTATTGTCCAGTTTGACTGACTGTACCTCTAATGTATTCAATTACATTTTATTCATAAATTCAGATGCCAGCGGAGACATTGTGATGACTCAGACTCCAGAATCCCTGGCAGTGTCTCCAGGAGAGAGAGTCACCATCAGATGCAAAGCCAGTTCAAGCCTTACTTACCAAGGCAAGGAATACTTAGCCTGGTACCAGCAGAAATTGGGACAAGCTCCTAAACGCCTTATCTATCTTGCTTCCACCCAACAACCTGGAACCCCAGCCCGGTTCAGCGGCAGTGGGTCTGGAACAGATTTCACTCTCACAATCAGCAGAGTTGAAGCTGAAGATGCTGGAGATTATTACTGCCAGCAAAACTATGAAACCCCTCTCACAGCGATACAGACCAGTACAAAAACCTGCCTGTGCTATTCAGTTCAGGGTGACAGCTGCTTCCTGCAGTCACCATCTTAGTGCCGCTGCTACACTTATTTAAGGGCAAAGTTTTGCTCAGCCTTTCAACACCACATGTCCCTGTCCTCCTAGTGCCCCCAAGCACATATAAAATAAGTCCACTATCCTGATGAGTTTCCAGCAAGAGAAATTTTCTTCCCTATAGCAGGATTTTTACATCAGCTGGAATAATGTGATTTTTTCCCCCTATCTAAAATGATTTCACTCTCTGCCTCAACCTCCTAATGTGATTCTTACTGGCAGCCTCAAATTCTGGCTGTGTATTTCAGGATCAGAACAGAAAGATGGGCTCAGCATATAATGGCAGCGTTGCCATGTCTGAGTAGCAGAACAATATCCCGAGGGCTAGTGTGGCCAGGGCTGGTCAGCCTGCGGAGGTGGCATGTCTGAGCCCAGGAGGGCAGGAACAATGCACCTCAGTCTAGAGCAGCACTCAGTCTGACCCACACAGCATGGCAACCGTGGCAGGCTGCATGAGAAGTTGTCTCCTCTCCTGCTAGAGGGGCGGGAGCAGCTCTGTGGTACATTTGGGTGCAGGAGAGTCTGAATATTCACAGCAACATGGGCTTTAAGGCCACAAGGGACCACAATGATCATTTAATGATCCAACATCACCCAGGTCTGGGAATCCACAACTTATTGATTCCTGCAGTGCAGGGAATAATTTTTTTCCCCCTCTCAATCTGGGGATTTTTCCTGTCAAAATTCTGATAGGAAAAATTCCCACTTTCGGGCCAGCTGAATTTTGACTGTCCGTGTTACTGTCATGCCCTGTCACGGTGATACAGAGCAATACAACACCCTCCCTGCTCGCCTCAGTTTCCTTCATTCAGTAAAGCAGCTGCTTCCTCTGCAGTTTGGCAATATCAGTACAGCTGCTGCATTGTCAAAAGGAAACTGGTGTCTGAGAGACATCAGGTTTCTCAGACCTCAGTCCAGCTCTCGCTCATCATTTCCACCACTTCCCCACCGCCACCTCAGTGAGATACGGCAGGGTAACTCCGTGTTGTACAACAAAGCCTAACCGGCTCTCAGTTACACAGGTGTAAATCTACAGAGATCTCAGTATAGTTGTGCTGGCATAAATCTGGAGTAACTAAAAGAAGGAAGCAGCCCGTATAGCTTGCCTACACATGAAAATTAATCCAGAATAAGGTAGGGCGTGAATTTAAAGGGGATTAACTATTCCTGATTAACGCCATATTTCGACACTCTTATTCCAGAATAAATTAATTTGGAACAAGACATTCTTAAAACAGTGGATTACGCTAATTCAGAATAAGGCACTCTTCTTCTGGAATAAAAGCATCCACACTAATAGAGCTAATCAGGACTAGTTATTCCAAAATAACTCCCCTTGCAGCAAGCCCTAAATCTCTATAATTAGAATGAACTTGCTCTGAAACAATCGAAATAAAAATACAATCCTAGCTCTTTATAAGATGGCTGTTGCACAGACTGCATTATAGCATAAGAACATAAGAGCAGCCATACTGGGTCAGACCAAAGATCCATCTAGTCCAGTGTCCTGTCTTCCGACAGTGGCCAGTGCCAGGTGCCCCAGAGGGAATGAACAGAACAGGTAATCATCAAATGATCCATCCCCGGTCACCCATTCCCAGCTTCTGGCAAACAGAGACTAGGGACACCACCAGCCCTGCCCATCCTGGCTAATAGCCATTGATGGACCCTATCCTCCATGCGCTTCTCTAGTCTGAAGTTTTGTTATTTTGTTTTATTTCAAGACATGTCGGTGGTCGTAGTAGCACATATCACGTGCTAGAGTAATCGATAATAATCTCCTATATGCAGGGGCAGCCCTAAAAGGGTGCGGCGCTGGACAAGGGGGATGGCACGTACCCACTGGGATTTTCTCTGCCGAGAGAGCATGTCTGAGGTCACGGTCTTCTTCCAAGTTCCTCCTTTTTTTAAAAAAAATCCCTTCTTCCCCACCACACCTTCACAAAGAGTTTATTTAAATGACTCAGCCACTCCCTGTGCTAGAGATCCCAGTGCATTCCCTCTGCTGTGTGACTATCTTTCAGCTTCCAAGCTCTCGCTCTCTGAGATACCCCATGCAGCACCATACACTCGGGAGCTTGTCCTGATTTCTGCTGGTTCCAGGCTATAGCATGTAGGTCACATAGTTGATGGACTCTCCTGGAAGGCACTCAGATACTGCACTCATCCCTGCAGTATAAGAACTTCTACAGAATAGGCCTTTCTCTAAGCAGAGAGAATAAACACTATACGTTAGCATTCAAGACCCACAGCCATGCAGCTATTGACTTGCCCACATTTTAGTGCAGGACATTAAAAGCCAGCACCCAAACAATAATGACGAGCTGAAAAGAAAATGAGAAACAGGCACGTTTCTTTCTTTGTACAATGCCTAGCTTGTACGGGGCTTTATCCTGATTGGGGCTTTCGGGTGCTAACACAGTAGAAGTAATGAATAATAAAAACAACAAATCACATTTCAGCACAAAGGAAGCGAGCTCCCCAGCCTGCCAGGCTGACCATGCTTACTTCATCCATGGCCCCTTCCTCTTCCCTTTTGGTGCACGTTGTCACGTCAGACACTAATTTTCATCTCTGAACCACAATTTGTATATTTCACACCCAAGTGACATCCCCATGTCGCTCTGAGCTGTTTAAATGTTCCATGCCACTGGCTATGGCTTGTTGATCAGCATCGGGCCAGTCAGACGTATCAAGATGATCTCGCGGGCTCAGCTCATCTGGCTGTTAGTGCTCTGGATCCAGGGTAAGGATCAAACCAAGAGGCAATTGGATGAATTTAAAGAAAATCATCCTTTAAAGAAAAATGAAAAGCTCTAGGATTTTTATCTATCGAACCCTAAATATTCCTAAGCGTTGCAGGAGCTTTGAGTGTCTTTCTCACATTTAACGGCAGTTAGAGAGAAAGAGCATATTTAAAAAACAAGGGCCTAAACCAAAACCCACTGAAGTTGATGGGAATCTTTCCATTCACTTAAATTGCCTTTGAATCAGCCCTAAGTGATCAACCGTAAAAGGAGCCAGAATGAAAGAGCCATCTGAATCTCACCATTCACATCACTGTCAGGTGACCAGCTATGACAACTACGGAATGATACACATGGGAATATTTATACAGGCACATTATTGTTTCATTTATCAACTGTGTGCGCGTGTGTAGAGATATATATAAATATATATTAACTTACATTTTATTTTGTACATTCATTCAGACTCCCAAGGGCAGATTGTGCTAACTCAGACTCCAGAATCCCTGGCAGTGTCTCCTGGTGACACAGTCACTATCCGCTGCAAAGCCAGTTCAAGCCTTACAGATGATGATTTGGGTGTTGACCTCTTAGCCTGGTACCAGCAGAAAACAGGGCAAGCTCCTAGGCTTCTCATTTATTGGGCTTCCACCCTGGAATCTGGAGTTCCAGCCCGGTTCAGCGGCAGTGGGTCTGGAACTGATTTCACTCTCACGATCAGCAGTGTTGAAGCTGAAGATGCTGGAGATTATTACTGCCAACAAAGCTATGAAACCCCTCTCACAGTGATACGGACCAATACAAAAACCTCCCGTGCAGTTCAGTTCAGTGTCAGAGCTGCTCTGTAAACAGAGTCATCTTCTCAGGGCTACTGCACTTGAGCAAGAGGGAGATGACCTGGAAGACACTTTTAGTTGCTGGGTTTTGGATGAACTAAAGTGGGTGGTGTGAGTGTTGGGAAGGCCAAAGAGGGAAGAAGGAAACAGTAATTCAGAGCAGAGACAAGAATTTTTCCCCACTGGGCAGGGAGAATGGGAAGAATCAGAAGGATTTAGACTTGGCCCAAAGATGAAGGGAGAAAGAACGGGAGAGCAGACCATGATCACCAGACTGGGGGGGCTTGTTTAGTGAGCGGATGACAGTACTGTCAAGGGCAAAAAAGAATGGGGAATGTGGAGAGGACTTAGGAAGGAAAATAAGGAACTTGGTTCTAATCACGTAATGCTCAAGCTGTTGACAAGAGGGCCACCAAGACATTTTGTGACAGGCTGCTCCATAGGACTGGACTGATGGGGACAGGTCAGGTGAGGATAAGATTTGAGAGTCATTCAGCATAAAATAGCTGGATCTCTGTAAGCAGATGAGGTTGCCCAGCTATGAGGCATACAGGGAGAAGAGGAAGGCACCCAGGACAGAACCCATGGGACTCCACAGAGAGAAGCAGCAGCAACCAAAAGAGACTGAGGGAGAGATCAGAGCCCCAAAAGTCAGGTGAGAACAGGAATGCCAAGGAGAAGAGAATGATCAGGATTGAAAGCTGCAGAACATTCATGGAGGATGAGGCTGGAGTGAAGACCTGGCGACTGGCCAGGAAGAGGCTGTCTGAGACCTTGGTGAGAATAGTCTCAGGAGAGTGGAAAAGGCAGAACCCATTTTGGAGTGGATACAGGCATGATACAGAGGGAGGGAGTCAAGGCAACAGTGCAAAATGAATTTAGAGGCGAATGGGAGAAGGAGGATGGGTTGGTTGCTGGAGACAGAGGTGGGGTCAAGGATTAGTTTTTTGAGAATGCCAGTGCATTCCTGAACAATGTGGGGAAGGAACTGTAGGAGTGAGAGAGGCAGAGGAAAGGGCAGGGAAAGGGAGTCCGGCAGATAGGAGGGGAGTAGGTGAGAGAACGCATAGTTGGTGACCTGGGAGAAGTGTTGGAGGAAAGAAGGGTGAAGAGGAGAAGGGAATGAATTAGGCAGGTGGAGAAGAATCACATCTAATGGACTCCTTCAGCCAAAAGATTCAGCCTTTGAGATCCCAAGCAGAGTGAGAGGAGACATGGTTGTGGAAGGTGGCAAGTAGGAGGAGGGCACTGGGCTTCAATGAGAGTGAGAAGTACAGCTGATTAGTGAGGAGGGGGAAGAGGATTAATTCCTGGTGGAGGACAGGGAGAAAGGGGTAACAGCTGTAGAGAAGGCAGAGATTTTGCTGACTCAGCAGCTTCTATGGAGACTTGAATGCAACTTAAAGCTGGCCAACTGTGGCAGGAGCCTTCAAGGAGGAGGGGGACAGCAACACAACCTGCCCTCTCTTGAAATAAATCAAGACATGGGACTTTAAGGCAGAGAGGTTTTTTAACTCTGTATTTGGCACTGGTGCCACCGCTGCTGGGATACTGTCCCCCGTTCTGATGCCTGCAATGCAAGACAGATGTTGATAAACTGGAGATGGCTCAGAGAACAGCCACGAGAACGATTAAAGGCTTAGAAAACCAGCCTTACAGAGACAGACTCGAGGAGCTCAATCTGTTAAGTTTAACATACCCTGAGAAGACTCAGACTCCAGAATCTCTGCCGGGGTTGCCAGGAGACAGTCACCATCAGCTGCAACTTTTGTAGGCAGAATCTCTGGGGAGAGGCCTATGAAGGCAACTCAGAGATGTGGGGCCTGGAAATGGGAGCGGGGGAAGGAAATGAATGGGGAAGGCATCGTTGGTGGACAGGAGTAGGTGCAGGGAAATGCCATGAGAGGTCACCTGAGTGGAGCTTACATGCATAGATGAGAAGCTTCAACTTGGTTTGGAGGCAAGGGGGAGCCAATGGAAGGATTCAAAGAGGGAGGTGACAAACAGGGTCCAACATTGCAATTTTATCAGCAGCAGAAGGTGACTTTCAAAACACGCACTGCAAACATAACCAGAGGAAAAGGCAGAGCACAAAGGAGACCAGTGTGGGGACGAATTTTCTAGTGATATTTTAGGTGTCTATGAGGAATGTTTAACACAGAAGAACCCACTGACAAGAGGAACTGATGCAATGAAAGTAGGTCTTTAAAGTTCTAAAATGTTTCTAACCATTTGTCATGATTAAATGGGCTATGTCTAATAAATACCCATTAGGGAAATCAACTTATTAGTAAATAAAGTGCCAGGCAGCTGCAAATACTAAAATCCAGATATAGTTAACCTTTAAAAATACATATTTCTGTGCATAGATCAACCGGATAGAATGAGAGATCAATCTACTATTTGGATAACAAAAAGTGACCTGGCTAGTAGGTGTCTAAGGGCACCTGATTCTGTACTTAAAGCTCTTTTAAATAAATCTGTGTACATTCATATTCAATGTATAAGAACAAACCAATCCAAGAATGAGGCCGAACTTCCAAATAATGGCCACCAAATGGCAACACTTAAATATAGTGATGTACAGTAAAACTGGGGTAAGGAGATATAATATGCATTTGAATACAGCTAAATGTAAATGAATACACCTAGGAACAAAGAATGCAGGCTGTGTGTACAGGATAGGAGACTCTATCCTGGGAAGCAGTGACTCTTAAAAAGATTTGGGGGTCATGGTGGATAATCAGCTGAATGTGAGCTCCCAGTGTGACACTGTGGCTAAAAGAGCGAATGCGATCCTGGGATACATAAACAAGGGAATCTTGAGGAAGGGTAGAGAGGTCATTTTACCTCTATATTTGGCACTGGTGAGATTAGTGCTGAAAGACTGTGTCCAGTTCTGGTGCCCACAATTCAAGCAAGATGTTGAAAAACTGGAGAGGGTTCAGAGAAGAGCCGCAAGAATGATTAAAGGATAGAAAACCTGCCTTATAATGACAGACTCAAGGAGCTTGATCTATTTAGCTTCATAAAGAGAAGGTTATGGGGTGACTCAATTACAGTCTTTAAGTACCTACAGAGGAACAAATATTTCATAGCTGTTCAGTTTGGCAGAGAAAGGTAGAACACAATCCAATGGTTAGAAATTCAGACTAGAAATAAGGTGTACATGTTTAACAGTGAGCGTAATTAAGCTTTGGAACCATTTACACCAAGGGACATGGTAGATTCTCCATCACTGACAATTTTGAAATCAAGATTGGATGTTTTTCTAAAAGATCTACTTTAGGAATTATTTTGGGGCAGTTCTCTAGCCTGTGTTATACAGGAGGTCAGACGAGATGGTCACAATGGTCCCTTTTGGCCTTGGAATCTATGAAAGTAATACAGCAGTAAGATCACTATCCATATTCTGAAACAAGGCAAATAAATCAATTCTATGGGTTCAGTTCTCCCCTTGCAGGATTGACTAACTCACTGAGAGTCGCCAATGTCTCATGAGGGAGAATAGGTCCTTATACGTCTAAAAGCTGGGCCTATATTCCAGAGGTAAAGGTGAGAAGCTTGGCAGAGTCATAACGGATGTCTCTCTCCCTGCTGCTCTGCGCAGATATAAACATTGCATGTCACTCTCCATCGTTAATTGATCAGCACTGTGCAGTTCAGACACATCAGAATGATCTTACAAATTCAGTTCATCTGGCTGTTCGTGCTCTGAATCCAGAATAAGAATCAAACCAAGCAGGAAATGACTTAAAAAAGCAAAGTGTTGCCATATACAATTTGACTTTACAATGAGACCAGTGACTTTTCTTATCTACAGTTTTAAATCTATTCACATTAAGATGACATATTGATTAAAATGTGACTATTAGCAGTGAATGGGAACATAGTAGAGTTTATTTGTTTTTGCCAGAGGTGCATCTTTATTTGTACTTTCTTTGCACATTCAGATTCCAGAATCCCTGTCAGTTTCTCCAGGAGACAGAGTCACTATCAGCAGCAAAGCCAGTTCCAGCCTCATCTTTGATGGAACGAACCATTTATCCCAGTACCATAAGAAATTGGGACAAGTTCCTAACTCCTTATCTGCCATGCTTCTACCCTGCAATCTGGGGTCCCAGCCCAGTTCAGTGGCAGTGGGTCTGGAACGGATTTCACTCTCATAATAAGCAGCATTAAATTCTGGAGATGCTGGAGATTGTTATTGCCAGCAAGCTGCTAGCTCCCCTCTCTCAGTGATACATAGAATCATAGAAACATAGAATATCAGGGTTGGAAGGGACCTCAGGAGGTCATCTAGTCCAACCCCCTGCTCAAAGCAGGACCAATCCCCAATTTTTGCCCCACATCCCTAAATGGCCCCCTCAAGGATTGAACTCACAACCCTGGGTTTAGCAGGCCAATGCTCAAACCACTGAGCTATACAGACCAACATAAAAGCCTCTCTGTGTTGTGCAGTTCAATATAACAGCTGCTTTCTAAACAGTCACCCTCTCAGGGCAACTGCTACGCGGGCTCTGGGGATCCAGTGTTGAACAGCCTTTAGGTGCTTCACTGCCTGGGCCAGTGCTTCATTCCCCTGTGCTCCTCCTACTTCCTTTACTTGCAAAGCAAATAGAAATAAGGAGATGGTCAAGCCAAGTTTGCTGCTAGAGAAGTTTCCTTCCTTACCAAAGGGATTGGACTTCGTTTGAGCTGCAGGATCGTTTTTTCCTGGCTTAAATGGTTTTACACCTTGATCCCCAAAACATATTTCTTCCTGGCTGCCCAGATGACTGTCATAGCATTGCAAGGTTAAGAGAAATGGTCAGTCCAAAGTCTGGGAGGGCTGCAGAGGCCTGAATCTTCAATCCCAGAAGCACATTGTTATAAGTCAACCAGATCAGGCTCTGATGTCCTGTGATCATGTGGGGTAGACTAATAGTATACGGGGTGATCTCTCTGCCCTTTTTATTGCAGCCTCACATCTGAGCTTTCATTCCCATGGCTGCTAAGAAACTCAGAGTGAAAGTTCTGACCGCCACGCTCACATCAGCTAGCCCTATGCACGTGTGCATCACAACTGGGTCGCTCTTCGATGATACAGTAAAACTCCCCCCTGTGCAAAAAGCCAACACCAGACAGATGGACCACTGAAGCCATTAAATGGTGCGTGGGTCTTATTTTGGCCCTCTGCGTGGGGGCTAATTTCACCCATCGTAAATAATAGCAGAGACATTAGCCCTGTGCAGTTCCCCTATGAAGGGGTAAATGCAGAGAGATCACCCAGGATACTATTTGTCTACGCCACATGGTCACAGGACATCAGAGCCTGAACACAATGCAAAGGCCCATGAGTTAATTTCCTGCAGACAGGTATTTGGGAGGGGATTTACAGTGTGATAGTAACGCCACATTCAATAAATGTAAACCGAAAGCTGAGGACATTCGTTCCCATTGATTCCGACCAACATCATTTCATTGCTAAGTGGGAAAGCAGCCCTAGGAGCAGCCCTGCTGTCTTACTACTTCAGTGATGACAATTTGCTCACTTGACCCTTTTCTACTTAGTCTGAATTATATGTAAATTTACACAGAGCAGCTGCTTTGCATCAGCTATCCCCAGGTGGTATTTCTCTGTTCCATTTTACTCCCTGTGCTTTGATCAGTCAG